TGTTGTTTGCTCCGACATCATCCAATCTTCTCGCTAGCTAGAGGTGATAGGATCTTATTTGCCTCCATGAGATCTTGAATGAGGTTTTGAAACCTGTAGCATTCATCAGTGGTATGACTGTGTTCTCGATGGTACTTGCAATAAGAGTTGGGATTCCATCTCGAAGATCGATTTTCTAGCGTTGGATCCTCGATAGGGCCAATAGGTTTGATTAATCCTTGATCATAGAGACGATCAAAAGCAGCATCGTAGGTCATTCCAATCGGTGTGAACTCTCTCCTGGGTTTCCTTTTAGATCCTTGATTTTCCATGGCTAAGACACCATTATGGTCAAAGGTACTAACATTATTACTAGAGTGGGCATTTTCAGAAGAAGAAGGATTGTCGTTCTTCTTTCCTTTCCAGCCACGGTGGTTTCTATTGTTAGTAGGTTTTTGTTTTGCGAGGTCATCTTTGATTTCAATTCCGATGTCATAAACGGCCTTGAAAGTTTTCAAATTGTGTTGATATTTTAAATGATTCGAATACTTCTCTTGGAGATTCTTGATAAACATCCTCACATATTCTTTTTCAGTGGGCACCTCAATCATCTTAACGGAAGTTTCCCTCCATTTATTAAAGAAAGAAGTAAAGCCTTCATTCTCTTTTTGTCTTAGCATCTCAAGTTGTCTATAGTCGGTTTCAACTTGAATATTTCACTTGTACCTACCAATGAAAGCGTTTACTATCGATTCCCAGGAAGAGGTTTTCTCTTTGTCAAGGGAGAATAACCATTGTTGGCAAACGGTTTCAAGAGATAGAGAAAATAGAGAATGAAGGGTTATCTGTTGCCTTGAATTTAGGGATGTCAGTGGCATTGAACTTATGCGGAAGAAGTTCCTTGTCCAGCGAGACCCCTTGTGAACTCATGCCCTGAAATTTATAGTCACTAGATAGCTTGCTCAAACTTTCTTGCATGAGGTTCATTTGTTGTTGCTTCACAGGGTCATCAATTTTGAGGGTTAAAGCCTTTAACACCTCAGTCGCGTCAGTCAATTGACTTCTAAATTCATTAACTTCCTCTTGAGTTGCCATTATGTTTTTAGCCTTCCTCTTTTGACGAATTGGTTTATCAAAAAGTGAGGCTGGAATAAAGAGGTTGTCCTTGATTAATTGCCCTTCTCTCCTCGACCAAGTACTGTGGAAAAGGAATTTGGGGATATTCATTGTTAATTATTTGACTCAAAATTTATTCAACATGCAAGGGGTGGAAGAAGTGAAGAAAGATTGGAATAGAATTTGAAGAAAGATGATGTAGATGGAGGGATATGAAGAATTAGGAATAGGATGTACCCCAAACTTAAATGACGGAAAAAACCGACTCATGCATGAACCTAAGACATGGTCATGGTGACTTATACTCAAAGTGTGTGCTAAGACTAATGAGTGTAGGTGACATACTTGGACTCGTGTCACGACTATGTGGCTAGACTATGTGACTAGACTCAATTAATGACTTGCCAAGGTATTATTGACAGCAAAATTTAACCGAATTTACTAGCAAACTGGTTAATTAGACACTAGGTGATGAATCAATAATCCGAACTGTCGGCAAAACGACATGACTGACGTCGCACTATGTAGTGTAGCGTCAGACGACAGAGATGTCGCCAAGCGCCACACTCCACAGAGTGGCGCTACTGTCCTGACTTTGGCGCCATTACTGGAGCTTCAATCTGAGACTGTTTTTGGTGTTATCAATCAATAGGTGTATGCCTAAAGTCGCGCTAGTTCAATTCTGATTAAAATCTTAGACTTTATTTACTCTAATTAATTAATTAGGCAAAGTTCTTTTAGTCATTAATTTATTAAATCTCAACACAAGTCAAACAAACAATTAAGAAATCATAGTATATGCACAACAAATAATGCACAATTAGTCAAGTAAGCACAATATGATGCAATGAGTTTGCAACCTAACCATGACCCTAGTTCTCTAAAGTTCGGGATATGGTTTAGTCAAAAGAGGGTCCATGGTTAATTTTCCGGATGCACCACGCGGAAGCCTAACCGTGAAGGGTTGGCGCGAGTAGATGGGACACCGCGAGTTTTAGAAAAAACTCGCTTCCATGTTTTGGTGAATTCAACATTCTCGGATTTACCCTTTGTTGCTATGTAGAACACATATGGGTTTCAGAAAAGTGAGAAAAACTCAATCAGGAAGTAGGATCGAGAAAACAATACGAAAAACTAGTCGAAATTAGAACGCATATTTCTGGCTCGGTATTGGAAGAGTTTGGCGCCAGCAAACAGAGCTTGGTGCCAGGTTTTAGCTGTAGCGCCTGGCGACAAGCCTGTTGTCTGGCGCTATAGTTAAATGTCTAGCGCCAATGCTTTAGTCGCTGACGCTAATTCCTACATGCCTCAGCAGCTTTCTGTGCTCGACAAAATTTTCCAGTTTCGCGCAGTGTTATTTCGGTCCTAGTTGTGAAAGATATTTCTCAAATTTCCTACGTGTAAAATCATATGTTTTAACTCATTACGGATGGTCTTTCCAATGAGATCTTTTTTATGCATATGAAAATTATTTTAATAAAAATTACGCACATGAAATACTTAGAATCTTTAATATTTTTTTTTCAAATATTAAGTAAGTATTCAATTTCAGATAATACTATTCCTCAAAAAAAAATTCATATAATACTATTTTTTTCATTTGTCTATAAACAATGTCATATAATACGTAATTTTAACTAAACCTGTGCTTTGCTTAAAAAAAATAAAAAAACAAAGGGAAAATTTACAGTGGAAAACACAGATAATATAACAACCATATTGTAGGGAATATTTCAAGCGCTAATCCCCTAGCTTGAACACCATTGTGGTCATACACTAAAGTACGATCAAAGAGATCGTCAACTCCATAAGGTCTTGAACCGTTCACAGGGTGAAGGTTACACCCCTTAACGATCCAAGAGATCGTCAACTCCAAAAGGTCTTGAACCAAATAGGGTTCAGGGATGAAGGTACAAATCCAACCTAAAAGAGATTGAACCTGCCCTAATAATAGGCCTCTACTTTATTCTGATCGTATTCATGTGCGCTTTCTAACTAACATGCAATCAATAGGTTTACCCTATACCTGTTTATCTATGTTGGTTGAATATTAATGCACAAATAAAACTATTATTGGCGATCACTTTAATTATAATCAAATTAACCCTAAACAAGATTATTAATCATCTTATTAAGCGTAATTACAAGTACCAAATTCCCTTTAAACATGCATAAAAGGCGTGATCAAGCAATAACAGTGAATATCATCAACATCATAATAAATAATTATAATAAAATTATAATCATAAATCATAATCATAAAATAATAATAAAAATAATCATAATAATCATAATTAAAATAATCATTATAAATTATAACAATTATAATCATAATTAAAATAATAAAATTAATCATAATTAACATAATCATGTTAAAGCATAATAATAATAGCAAGATCCTAGGCATGATACTAACAAGATTAATAACAAACCCTAGCATGTCACTAAACATTAAAAATCAAATATTTAACCCTAACATGATACTAACAATCGTAAATATTAGTAAGAATATAAAAGGCATCATACTTTTAATCATACTTGATATTAAAGTTACCCTAGACATGATACTAGGAATCAAAATAATAACCTAAGCATGATCTCTACATCATAATATCAATAAAAACCATTAAAGTACTTACTTTGATGCCTCGTACCTCTCTCTAATAACAAAACACACACGTTAAACTTCAAGGAAAATAATAAAAACAAACAATTAAATTAAATAATTGAAAGAGAGATTTGGGACCAAACCCTCATAAATTAAACCTTTCACGTCTAGGGCGAAGGCAACTTCTAATATGGCTAGGTGTTTTTAGATCTAACGAATGCGGAATTTTGTATTGTAAAAGGCCAGTTTAGAAAAGAGAGAGAATGAATTGATAGATTGTTGATGAAAAACTGATAGGTTGTAGATGAATCCTAGTTGTTTATGAGAATTGGTGAATGAAAATAGAGTTTTTACGACGTTATTTATAAAGAAAATCAGCCAATAATATAAAATATCAAAACAGAGTTCTGGCGCACACAAAACTTGACTAGCGCCAACGCTAGCTATTTGCGCCAGACGCCAATGCTAGCGCCAGGCGCCTAGCGTAGCGCCAGGCGCTACAGCTGGCGTTTGGCGCTGATCTGGAAATTCACGCGTTTTTTTAAAATCAGATAGAAATTGTCGTACGGGAGGATAAAATCGTATCTTTCCTTAAAAAAATGTTCTTTGATTTTAATTAAAACTTTGAAAAGTCAACAAAAGTCAATTTATCAATGCTGATTGAATTAGGAATGAAAAGAACCTTCTAGAAGAATGTAGAAGACTAAAACCATTCCTAATTGCATTAGGAATGATAAATTTATATTAGGCCCTCCCCTAGATCATTGGGCCGCATATAAGGCTGAAACCGAGCCCAGTTCAGTAATTTGGCCATAACTTCCTCAATATTCATCGCAATTGGGCGTATAATATATCGTTGGAAAGCTCTTTTCAAGCCCCATCCAACTACAATACTATTGGACCCATATAATGGACCAAAAAAACTGGATTGGCTGTTTTCTATAAATAAGTTATCAAAAACAGAGAGAAGAGAAAAGAAATTAAAACTATCCGCAACACTGAACTTTCCACACTTTCACTTCATTCGATTATGATTCGATGTGAAAGGTACTCATCACCGGGTTTGGTTTTGGGAAGACACAAATGGGTGTCTACACATATATATGTCATTGCAAATAAAATTTAAAAAAAAAAAGGTTGTAAGAGTAATGCGATACTGAATAAATAAAGTAAAAAATGATGATAATGTAATAGCATTTAAATCTTAATGTCAATGCGAAATGTGCTATATAAGGTATTCAAACAGTAGAATTATAAATAATAGCATCCAAAAGAAATTCTCAGTGCCAAAAATTACTGCGATTCTGAAATTACCAAAAAAATAAAGCTCATAGTATGCAATAACATATAGATGAATTGGCCAATACCTATTGTAACTTTATTAAAATAAAAACCTCAATCACCTATTCAAAAACTATAAAAAGTCTTAATTTAAAATTAAAACAAACTATGGCATCTAAAAATCCGTATTTGGGTCCCAATCAAAGATGGTGGGAAACTTTTCAAATGCACTGACTTCATAACAATCGGTCGCGTTTGTTGCATCGCCAATATTGTATGTCCTTGGCAGGCAGTTTCTCAATAGCTCAACGAAACCACCGCTTTTAACAGGTGACGGTTTTGTTTCTTGCTGGAACATTATGAACCACGTGAGTGATATCATGAACATCACGACCAATTTGAACACCCTGGACAATATTTTCATTCCTAGTGGTTTTGATTTCACTCTTTTTGGGTCTAACACTACTTTTTCCTTTATTAACCTTTTAGTCTTTTATGATGTCCTTTTCTTTGAGATTTATTTTCTCATTTTCTATTTCCAACAACATTTTTGCTAACTTGTCTCTCACCCAAGTTGATCGATCATATGATGAAGAAACCATTCTACAAAGTTGTGCACTTAATCGAGCGAGGAATGCATAACGTCCATTTGCTGATGCCTGGTCGTTTCTCTTTTAAAAATCATGTTCCTTGAATGTATTCTTCAGAGGCACCTCGGCTCTGATAGTCCACCTACAAAGAATACAACCAACTGGTATCTCAACCATTCCTTTGAACTTCATTACTACAAACATATGTCAACATGGTAAACCAATGGAGTTGTACTTCATACAACAACAAACCATTTGTTGCAATTTCTGGTTGTAACACACAACATAATTGCAATCATTGTTCACACAGTTGTTTAACCAAAAAGTGGTTAAAGCCCCATTACGATGTCATTTTTCTTCCTTAGTCTTGGTCACAATGTGTCTTGATTTAAAACTTAGTTCCTTCAAAAACAAATGGTACACGTTCCTTGTGTAGGTTCGTGCTGCTTGTGTCTTTATTTCAGGCAACACCCCAGTTATTACTGAAAATGTATGTGTTGAGATGTAATCATCTTTATCTTCTTCAAATCGTATATGCTCAAGGACTTGGTCATACAACTCCACAAAGCGGTACAATATTATTTATGATGTTATGACCGTTTTTAATGTACTATTCATGGACACACATCTTTGGGTACTTCTTATGCCTGCGTACAAATGTGTATTAACCAATACTGTAATCAATAAAATCACACATATTTTCATTTAGAAATAAAGATTTGAAATACCACTTAGGTTTACTAAGGATTACCTATGCAAATATTAATCTGAAAATCTTTAATGTAATCATACATTACTGTACTATAGATTACATTCAATATAATAATTAATATTTATTTACTTATTCAAGTGAATACATATAACCAAAGTGTTATTTGGGTGATATAGGTAGTGATCAAACACTATTAAACATAATAAGCGCTACCAAATTAAAATATGTAATGATAAAAATCAATATATGTAATTACATTAATAATTAAAATGTACTTACCTACATAAAATTGTCCCACCATGAAAGCATCCGCCCTTTTTTCCTTGTTATTGTACAGATCTTGTGCCCACTTTTTATCTCTCACTGCATCGTATGCTTTTATTAAGTCTTCCCAAGCCTCTTCAAACTCAGCTGGTGTACGAGCACCGTCTACACATTTCATAAAACTACTGCAAAACCGTTTGTTTGTGTGGCCCTTGATGTTGCACATAAGATGCCACAGACATAACCTATGATGCACATGTGGAAAAACCTCCTCAATAGCTATAGCCATGGCCTTGTCCCCATTTGTGACTACAATATATGGAGTAACATTGCCACCTGCCTCATTTAATGGTTCTAGAACCCATATGTATGTGTCAGGTTTTTTAGTCCCAATCAACGCAACACCTAAGGGTACAGTCTTCCTATAATGATTTACTCCAACGACAACAACGAATGGTTTCTGGTATGCATTGACTTTGTAAGTCGTGTCAAACTCTATTACCTTCCCGAAAGCCTTGTAATCTGCTTGGCATATTCCATCACACCAAAACATTTTGTCAATCCCATCATGGTCATCTCGTGTGTATCTAAGAAAAAAAGATGGGTCTGAGGCCGTTTTTCCAAGTAAATAAGGCAACACAATTTCTGTATCTCCGTCCTTTATTTCTTCTCTTTTAAACTTCTCACAGGTGTTGTATAAGTCTTTCTTTAGGAATCCTACTTCATGTGTTCCCCCAGCACTTTGTGCCAAATTCCTCATTGTGATGGACGGTTTCAGTCCAGAGTTAATTCAAGCTTTAATACGAATCTTTTCACCTTCGTTGACTTCTCTATGTCTCCTGTCATAAAATTTAAACACTCAATAAATTATAAATAATTTAAAATATAACACATTTAGATATCAAGTTCTTTTCGGTTTAACATATTTTAAAAAACTGACCTTTTGAAATACATCTGATTCATGGGTGCCCATTGTGCTCAGGTACAAAATCCTTCACGTACCATAAATCGGATCTGTGATCCCATTTGAAACTGATTGATGTGTTACAACCGCAGCGTGTTACTACCTTTCCCCTACGCAGCCTATCAGGTATATTCAAATGTTTTTCTTCTCAAAACCCTTCCCTATTACACCAAAAATTTTGGGAAGTTGGATTACCGTCAATTTTGCTTGTTGTTGTATGCTTGTGACAGATTCCAAACCCTTTGACCTTAGCGTACATCCTATAGAACTGAATACACGTGCAGTGGCTTCTAAAGGACAGTTGTTTCATTTCTGCTTAAGTAAAGTCTTCTAGCTTCTTCCCAAGTTTTGCCCAAACTTCAAGGTCTAGAAAACTTACAGGAATCTCATCAGTGTCGGTGTCCGTGTCAACATTACTTTCATTTCCATTGTCAATGTCCTGTATCAAATGAAATATTTGAAAATGTAAGTGTATATGTAATTTCCCATTTAAGATAATTATAATACCAATAAATTAAAAAAGTTAGTACCTCTCCATGATCCTTAGTTTCCGCTTGATTTTTAAGCTTGTCATATGAGCCATGTCAAACAATAAACATTTAATAAGAATAAATCATTAAAATCTATAAATTTATAAAAAAAAAAAAAATTAATGTTTATATAAATTGAATTTATTTAACAAATAAAACATTGAAAAAATGTTACCAACCTCAGATTCAAAGCAATCAGTTTGGTCCAGATTATTAATTTCTGTATCTACCACTTCTTCTCCTCCCGACTCCATTTTTTTCGATTACACAAACCCCTTAGGTGATAAAAAAATATTCTCTGGTGAAACAAAGAATAAAATATTAAGATATTCTGTTTTAATAAAATACAAAAAAAAAACAAGAATATATTTATACATATGAAAACCATGTAAAGAAAAATATTTAAAAAATATTTTACAATTTTAGTTTATTTTAAAAAGATTGTTACAAAATCTTTAGTTTGATAAGTTATGGAATTAAAGATATAGAATTACACAGTTTACCTTATTTATTCTGAGCATGTGTAGACACCCATTTGTGTCTCCCCAAAACCAAACCCAGTGATGAGTACCTTTCACGCCTAATCATTATCGGATGAAGTGAAAGTGTGAAAAGTTTAGTGTTGCGGATATTTTTAATTTCTTTTCTCTTTTCTCTGTTTTAGAAAACCTATTTTAAGAAACAGCCAATCCAGTTTGGTTGGTCAATGATATGGGTCCAATAGTAGTGTAGTTGGATGGGGCTTGAAAAGAGCTTTCCAACGATATATTATAAGCCCAATTCCGATGAATATTGAGGAAGTTATGGCCAAATTATTGAATTGGGCCTGGTTTGAGCCTTATATGCGGCCCAGTGATCTAGAGGAGAGCCTAATATGGATTTATCATTCCTAATGCACTTAGGAATGGTTTTAGTCTTCTAGAATCTTCTAGAAAGTTCTTTTCATTCCTAATTTAATTAGCATTGATAAATTGACTTTTGTTGACTTTTTGGAGTTTTAATCATAATAAAAGAACGTTTTTGAGGAAAATACGATTTTATCCTCCTTTACGGTAATTTCTATCTGATTTTAAGAAAACGCGTCAATTTCTTAGTCAGTGCCAAACGCGAGGTGCAGCGCCTGACGCTACGCTCGGCGCCAGCGCCTGGCGCTAGCTTTAGCACCTGGCGCTAACGTCAATGTTTGGCGCTAACCTGGTTTTTCGCGTCAAAACTCTATTTTGGTTTTTCTATCTTTTTGGTTGATTTTTTCTATAAATAGCTTCCTAAAAACTCCGTTTTGATTCACCAACTCTCATCAAGATTTTCTTGATTACTCTTTTTCTCTCTCTCTTTTCTAAACTAGTCTTCTCTCAAATACAAAATTCCGTATTCATTAGAGTTAGATACACCTATCCATATTCGAAGTTGCCTTCGCCCTAGACGTGAAAGGTTTAATTTCTGAGGGTTTGGTCCCAAATCTCTCTTTCAATTATTTAATTTAATTGTTTTGTTTATTATTTTCCTTGAAGTTACTAACGTGTGTATTTTGTTATTAGAAAGAGGTACGAGGCATCCAAGTAAGTGATTTAATGGTTTTTATTGATGTTATTATGTAGAAATCATGCTTAGGTTGTTATTATGATATTCCTAGTATCATGTCTAGGATAACTTTAATATCAAGTGTGATTAAAATTATGATGCTTCCTATGTTCTTCCTAATATTTATGATTGTTAGTATCATGTTAGGGTTAAAGATTTGATTTTTATTGTTTAGTGACATGCTAGGGTTTGTTATTAATCTTGTTAGAATCATTTCTAGGATCTTGCTATTATTATTATGCTTTAACATGATTATGTTAATTATGATTATTTTAATTATTATTATGATGATTATTATTATGTTGCTTGATATTTATTTTTATTGCTTGATCACGCCTTTTATGCATGTTTAAAGGGAATTTGGTATTTTTAATCACGCTTAATAAGATAATTTAATAATCTTTTTAAGGGTTAATATGATTATAATTCAAGTGATCGCCAATAATAATTTATTTGTGCATTAATATTCAACCAACATAGATTAAACAGGTTTAGGGTTAACCTAATGATTGCATGTTAGTCAGAAAGCGCACATGAATACGATCTGAATAAAGTAGAGGTCTATTATTAGGGCAGGTTCAATCTCTTGTAGGTTGGATTTGTACCTTCATCCCCGAACCCTATTTGGTTCAAGACCTTATGGAGTTGACGATCTCTTGGATCGTTAAGGGGTGTAACCTTCACCTCGTAAACGGTTTACAAGTTCCTAAAAAACTTGTTGGCGACTCTTTTGCTCTATCTTCTTTCCCTTTGGACGCCACCGTACTTTAGTGTATGATCACAGTGGGGTTCAAGCTAGGGGATTAAAAATTGAAATATTCCCTACAGTTTTTGGCGACTCTGCTGGGGAGTATTTCTACTTTAATTCCTAAAATTTATTTTGGCAATGATTTAGAATGAGTAGATGAGACTCGAAACGTTCTAAGTATTTCATGTGCGTAATTTTGATTAACATTATTGTCATATGCATAAAAAAGATCTCATTGGAAAGACCCTCCGTAATGAGTTAAAACATAGGATTTTACACGTAGGAAATTTGAGAAATACCTTTCACAACTAGGACCGAAATAACACTACGCGAAACTGGAAAAATTTTATCGAGCACAGAGAGCTGCTGAGGCATGTAGGAATAAGCGTCAGCAAACAGAATATTAGTGCCAGACTTTTAACTGTAGCGCCAGACAACAGTTCTGTCGCCAGGCGCTACAGCTAAAATCCGGCGCCAATATCTTTTTGCTGGCGCCTAATTCGTCCAATACCGAGCCAAAAATATGCGTTCTAATTTCGACCGGTTTTTCGCATTGTTTGCTCGATCCTACTTCCTGATTGAGTTTTTCTCACTTTTCTGAAACCCATATGTGTTCTACGTATGGACATAACCCTCTGGGAATTCATGCTCCATCTACCTGATTGAACGCTCTGAGCAACAAAGGGTACATCCGAGATTGTTGAATTCACCAAACCATGGAATCGAGTTTTTTCTAAAACTCGCGGTTTCCCATCCACTCACGCCAACCCTTCACGGTTAGGCTTCCGCGTAGTGCATCCGGACAATTAAACATGGACCCTCTATTGACTAACCCATATCCCGAAGTTTAGAGAACTAGAGCCATGGTTAGGTTGCAAACTCGTTGCATCATATTGTGCCTACTTGACTAATTGTGCATTATTTGTGGTGCATATGATATATGTTTTTCTTAACCGTTTGATTGACTTGTGTTAAGATTAAATAAATTAATGACTAAAAGAAATTTTCCTAATTAATTAATTAATTTGAGTAAATAAAGTCTAATGTTTTAATCAAAATTGACCTAGTACGACTTTATGCATACCCCTTTTGATTAATAACACCAAAAACAGTTTCAGATTGAAGCTCCAGCAATGGCGCCAAAATTTGAACTGTAGCGCCACTCTGTGGAGTGTGGCGCCTGGCGACAGCTCTGTCTTTTGGCGCTACACTGCAAAGAGAGGCGCCAGTCTTGTCGTTTTGACGACAGTTCGGATTATTGATCAAGTCATCACCTTATGTCTAATTAACCAATTTGCTAAGTAATTCGGTTAAATTTTACTGTCAATAATACTTTGTCAAGTCATTAATTGAGTCTAGGCACTAAGTCCCATGGTCTTACACAAGAGTCCAAGCATGTCACTTACACTCAACGCACACACCAATACACATACTTTGACCATGTCTAAGAGAGTCTTGTATGCGCGTTTTTCCGTCAATTTTTTAGGGGGGTAAGTCGGATATTAATCCTCCAATTTAAATACCATAATTAGTTCCTAAAAATATATACATTATTTTTGCCAAAAAAATGCACCCATTTTTTTATTTTTCCTCTTTAAAACCGTAAAGTCATGGTCGATTTGAGTCAAGTAATTAAAATGCAAAATGGTTTAAATTATAGCGCGTGGTCAAGAAAGGAAGGGCAGTTAATCAATGATAAGCTTTTCATAAAAGTCCAACTTTTTGATAAACCCATAGCTCGTAAGAGGAAAGCTAGGACAGTAATGGCAACACAAGAAGAAGTCAATGAGCTTAGGAACCAACTGGTAACCGTGACTGAGGCACTGAAGCTCCTAACACTTAAGATTGATGATCCCGTGAAACAACAACAGATGGACCTCGTGCAAGAGAGTCTAAGAAAGCTATCTAACGACTACAAGTTTCAAGAGATAAGTTCA